GGATATTTAGATTCTACGGGCATGACGTAAAGGAATTAAAAATATAATTAGGCGGAGAAGAAACAGACTTGAAGAACAGGGACTGCTCGAGGTAGGGCGGTGCGGTGACGGCAGGGAAGTTCCTCCCCTTCCTGCCCTCCTCGGCCAGCCCACTTACCCTTCTTCCCCGTCGCGAAGGCCGTGCCCGCCAGCGCGCCCCCGCCGCCCCAAGGTTCCAAACTTCTGTTTATGATTCCAGGGTCCGGCGCAGCGCAACGCCCAGTTATCAACTCGCACCCCCCAGGGGGCCACAGCGACCCGACGCCCTACCACGCCCTGCCCCGCGCGGTCTTGCCCTTGCCGGGGGCGAGCAGCAGCCCTTGTGCCCCGAGATGAAGGAAGAGGAAGCACACTGCGCAGGCACTGTGGACAACAAACTGAAGTGCAGCCACGCGCCCGTGTTTCCTACTTGTACGGAGCCAAGTGCACAGTGAAACAATAGTCATCGTCTATAAACTATGCCCGTTTTTAACAAGAGATTCATTTTAAAAAAAATCGAAGCTTGGCGCCTGCGATACTCGAGGTAGGCCAACCCGCACTACCCGCATGCGCTGAAGGCAAGGTGTTGCCTACCCGCCAGGCGCCATGGGAGCTTGCCAGGCTGAACTTAGCAGGTCCTTAGCGACGAATAAAGGCCGTAGTTTCTGGGCGATGATTCAATAAAGGCAACGGTTAAGTTTAATTTTAATGGCGACGACAGCTCCATGTACAATGCTAAGAAATTATCGACCTTATTACGCAAGAGGTAGTATTTTATGCACCTATCCATGCGAAATATAGCAGAAATACGAAACGTCAAGTGCATCTCGGACCTCCTGCTGGGCCCGACCTGAGCGGCAGCGGTCCAACCCGTTCCGCTGAGCGGCACCAACGACCAGCGGCGACGCAGCGTCACCGGGCATCATCCCTCAGCCTTGCTAGCGTCCGAAGCGGTTACGGGCGACACGGCCGGGGCAGGGCAGCGGCAGGGCGGTGAGCACACACACACACACGACCCGCGGGACGGAGCGAGAGCGGCACGTCGGCTCGACTCAGGTGTCTGCCGGGCCCTGCCCGGTACAGCCCGGCCCGTCGCGGAGGGGCGGCTCCTCATTACACTGCATGGCGGGGCGGCTCGAGCCTTGACCCGGCAGCCGTCGGGACCCGCTGGAGGCCGCATGCCTCGGGGCCCCG